AAGCCCATTCCAGACTCCAACCTTTATACCTGTTTCCCAATTCGATCCCGACGATACAACTCGTGAAGCCCACAATTACAACAACACAGCGCGCCAATCTTCGGATGCCGAGTTACCACCGCCGAACTCCTCGCAAGGCACCATTCGCACCGGCCACGACAGCGACGACGACGTTATCGAAGTAACCAGCGCCCACGATTACGATCGCCTCGCCTACGAAGAGACCAACGAAACTGGGCTTCGCATCCTTGGGCTCGCAGTCGCAGTTCGCCACACCTCACCCAAGGAACCCACTACCATACTCCACGCTCACTCCGGGCTCGACAGCGAGAAATATAAGGCAGCCATGGCAGCAGAAGTAGCAGCACTGAAGCGCCGTGGGACTTGGAAGCCCGTTCCCCAATCATCTGCAAAGGGGAGAAAGATTCTCAGCGGCAAATGGGTCTTCCGGATTAAAACCCTCGCGACGGATCAATCGATAAATACAAAGCGGGATGGGTGGAGCGCGGCTTTGAGCAAACTCACCTGGTGGATTACGACCAGACCTTCGCGCCCGTCGGACGGCACACCTCAGTCCGCATTCTCATTCGCATCGCGGCCGTCAAGCAGCGTCCACTCCGACAGATCGATGTCAGAAGTGCGTTCCTGTACGCATTCGTCGACGCCATCATATTCGTCGAGCAACCACACGCCTTCGAAGAAAGTGACGGCGCCGTCTGCCTCCTCCAGAAATCCCTCTACGACATCAAGCAAGCGCCTCGCCTATGGCACCAGTACCTGGACACGCTACGTAGACGCGGACCATGCGGGAGATGTTGACAACAGACGCCCCCGCACATGCTTCATCTTTCAACTCCAACCTGCTGGACTCATCTCTTGGAACTCCTAGAAGCAGGAGCTCATCGCTCTTTCGTCAGCCGAAGCTGAGTTCATCGCCCCCAGCGCAGCTGTTCGCGAAGGGCTGCACCTGATGGAGCTCCTGCAGGAAGCGAAAGTGACGATGAACTGACACTTCACGTTACTCTGCGACAATCAGAGCGCGATCAAAATCGCAAACAAGCCCGACTTCGTGAACCGCACAAAGCACATTGCACTCCGTTACTTCTTCGTCAAGGACGAGATCGACAAGGGCAAAGTCAAACTCACGTATTCTCAACTGGTGACATGGCAGCTGATTTCTTGACGAAGAAATCGCCACGTTAGAAGTTCCAGCACTGCGCAGACCTCTGCGGGATCTCGAAGAAATCCCACGTGGCTCACCTTCAGGAATGAAGGGGAGTGTTGGAATAACCGATGGTTATGACAGCACTCCCGAAGGCTTCACTTAGCGCATCGCTTCATAACGAGGTTGCGCACCTGTACTACTATCGCGTTAAGCTTGTATAGAGCACGCGGCAGCTCGAGAGTCACTCGAAGGTCAACATTCGCAGATAGTCAACGGTCGTAACTGTTGACCGCCCAGTAACCGTACTCGGAGGTTACACGATGCAACTTGGTAACTGTCGAGTAGAGCAATAGTAGCGGTTACTGTAGTAATGCAATGCAGTTAATAAGGGAATGTATCCCTCAGAGTACATGGCTAGCTAGGATTGCTATTTATATCCTTGTACTCCTACCTTAAAATCATATTGTTCTCTTTCAACTATTACCTACAAGGTCATTACAATACTTCATTGTCTTCTCACAACTCAGCAAGTCTTATCCTATCCACTACGATTCCTGGTTATGTCAACACCTGCGACTGTTGACCTTCGCGTGGCTACTGACCTTCGCGTGCTCTATACGAGCTAACGCGGTACTAGTACAAGCGCGCTGCTTCGTTATGAAGCGGTGCGCTAAGGAGAACCTTCGGGAATGCTGTAATAACCCTTGGTTATTCCAACACATGGCTCAAAGTTCTTGGTACTTTGAACATCTAAAATGTTGCAACTCACAACGGAAGGTACCTCCTAGCGTGTGATATGTACACCTTTTATCGCGTACGCAACATCTGAACCCAAGGTTGCGCTCTCCCAGTCAGAATGTTATAATTGTCTAGACTGCAGTGGGGTACTCTATAGCGAGTACAACCCAATTAGGGTTTCCTATATGTATCTCAACTGCTGCTAGTGCAAACCTCCTCCTTTGCTCATCCTCGTTCACTTCTAGTTTCGACATGATATCAGAGCAGGTCGACCCTCCTGGGTCGATCCTGTGGGTGGGCCCCACCCGATGCTTCCGCTGCTCTACCGCTGTCGCGCGCTCCTGGTGCGCGACCCCTTCTTCCTGCCGCGCGCTCGGAGCGCGCGGCGTTTTTCATTCCGCCGTGCGCTCGGGGCGTGCGGCGGTTTTCTGCCCGCCGTGCGCCCCGAGGCGCGCGGCGGTTTCCTGCTTCGCGCGGCGGTTTTCTACCCGTCGTGGCGCCCCAGGGGACCTGCGCGCTGCCCCCCGTCGCCCGTCGCGGCGCCCTGGGGGCCCGCGCGTTGCCCTCCTCCCGTCGCCTCGTCGCGGCGCCCTGGGGGCCTTCGCGCCGACCCCTCCCGTCGCCTCGTCGCGGCGCCTTGGGGGCCCGCGCGTCCCCCCCTCCCGTCGCCTCGTCGCGGCACCTTGGGGGCCCGCGCGTCGCCCCCTTCCGTCGCCTCGCCGCGATGCCTTGGGGCCCCGCGCGCCGCCCCCTCCCGTCGCCTCGTCGCGGCGCCTTGGGGGCCCGCGCGCGGCCCCTCCCGTCACCCGTCGAGCCGCCCTCGGGGGCCCGTGCGCGCCCCCCCTCCCGTCACCCGCCGTGGCGCCCTCGGGGGGCCCGCGCCCTGCTCCTTTGTGGCGCCCAAGAGACCCCCCCGCCGCCTCCCTTTCCTTCCGTGAACCGCCCCTGCTGCTTCCCGCGCTCCTGCCTGCGTTAGGGTTTGGGGGTGGCGGGCATGGGGGTGACCGGTATGGGTAACCTGCAGCTCCTCCTCCTCCTCCGTCTCCCACTGCTGCAGCTGCCGCTGAGGGGGGTGGGTGTGTGGGAGCCGAGGGTTTAGGGTTTAAGGGGGGTGCCGTGGGAGTGGAGCTAGGGTTTCAGCAGGGGGTATGTGAAAGGGGGGTGGGACAGTTAGGGGAGGTTGAGCGGAGGCTGCCGTCTTGTCGTCCGCAGCACCTGTAGTCCGGGGCGCTGTCCTGGTAGCCCAGAGAGCCTGCTGCGCCTGTCGCCCGTGGGTCCGTTGCTCCTGCCGCTCCTCGTAGCCGCCGAGCCAGTTACTCCAGTAGTCCGGGGCGCTGTCCCGGTAGCCACTGTGCCAGTTGCTCCTTTTGCCCGTATGTCTGCAGCTTCAGCCGTCGCCTCCTATCTTCTCTCCTCTTACAGTCCCGCCTCCTCCTCCTCACTTGCCCTTTGTGAATGCCTCTAGCTTTGCTTGCACTTGTGAACCTGCTCTATGACTGCTTGCTCTGCTGATTATACCCCAGTTTGACTATGGGGGTGTGTCAGAATGTTATAATTGTCTAGCCTGCAGTGGGGTACTCTGTAGCGAGTACAACCCAATTAGGGTTTCCTATATGTATCTCAATTGCTGCTAGTGCAAACCTCCTCCTTTGCTCATCCTCGTTCACTTCTAGTTTCGACACTCCCCTCCCCTCCAACAAAGCAGCATTTCTGATCCTCGCAAAATCTTCTTCGCTTTTTCTTTCCCGCCTAACTGGTCCACAGTATGAGTTTCCTGAACCAAGCCGCCTTGCTCTCACACCAACGGACCGTCGCTTGCTTCCCATGCAATTGGAGCACGACCGTCGCGCAGAATTCGTCCAATGATCCCCATTCAAACTCGCTATTCCGTTCCTCCGTTAAACCTTACCAATGCGCTTCGCTGGTTCCTACTAGGCACATCTCCTCGCCATCTGTAGTCTCTTGCCATTCTCGGAGGAATCCGCGGTGCGCTTCTCCGCGGTTCATGGCGGCGAGAAGTAGCATCGACGGCAGCGGGAGCAGCGAAGCAGGAAAGGGTCAGGCGGAGGAGCGATCAGGAAAGGACGGTTCACAGAGCCTGGCAACGCGGATCCTTCACTATAAAGGCGCGGACTTCGACCCTTACGGGGCCGTCAGCATGCCTATTAACCAAACGGTGACATTTCGACAGGTTAACTGCGGGGTTGAGCGAGGTTGAGCACGCCTATTTACAAAACGAGGGGATGGGGGACCGCCACGCATTGATCAATCGACACAGTTCACCCCAATCGGCATCTCTGATGGATCAAAGGACAGTGTCAAGGGATTTGCAATTATGGTCTTTAAGAAGTGCAAAGCTACATGTTCATGGCTGCATCCCTTGGCACTGCCTGTGGATTGTGACATTGCACTTTGCGACTGCAATGCAGGAAACGCCAGCTGTTTTCGCATCATGCTGCTGCAAGCACCGGATCCGTTTTCATTCATAATCGTTCTGCAAATATTCACTAATCTTCACCAAACTTGATTCTTCCCATTCCCTGCTCACATTGCATTGACTTTCGAGGCGCCTTATAAGTCATTCATGTTCATATGGTATTGTACTTATTCACCGAACTTCATACGGTATATTCGCAGTGGTGACCCTACAAGAGATGCGCTCGAGAAGTGAGTGTGGAGCGCGTGTGAATTGAATGTGACTTGAGTTTGAAGTGAATGTGAAGTGGGTGTTCAGAGAAAGGGAGCTGTGTCGGAGGGAGAGTAGCTTCTTTCCCTCTTAGCTTTTCGGAATGAATAAACGTGTGCTCCTCTTTCTTCCTTTCCACTTTTCGCTATCCTCACGTTTTTCTCCCCTAGCAGGCTGCTAGCACCAGTGGAGGGGCGCATCGTGCCTTTGCCTGCTTTCTCGCCTCTTACTTCCCAACCCCTCTCCACCGTTCTTTCTCCCCGTTTCTCGCATCCTGCAGGCTGCTAGCAGAGGGGGAGGGGCCACGTCGTGCCTTTGCCTTTTCAATGGAATGTGTGCTGCTCTTTCTTCTTACCTTCCTCATCTCCCAGCCCCGCAGGCTGCGTGCAAGGGGCGCATTGTGCTAGTGCCATGGCACTTGTTAACAGCACCAATTTTCTCTCTCCTCGTTTCTCTCCCTGCAGGCTGCAAGCGGAGGTGGAGGGGGCGCATTGTGCCTTTGCCTGCTCATTCTTCTCTTCCTTCCCAACCCCTCTCCACCTTCCTCTCTTCCCACGTTTCTCCCCTCCTACAGGTGGAGGGGGCGCATCATGCCTTTGCCTTGGCACTGCCCAGCAGCACCTCTCCTGTCCTTACCACTTTTCTTTCTCCCCGCTTCTCCCTGCCTGCAGGCTGCTAGCGGAGGTGGAGGGGGCGCATTGTGCCTTTGTCTTCAGCACCGGGATGGCGGCACTTGCTGCAGCCACCAGGCTGGTTACCACCGGTGAGGTCTCGTTACGACTAGCGAAATTTGTTACCGCATGTGAGGTTGTTACTACTGATGAGACTCATTACTACTGAAGAAATTCGTTACCCCCCATGAAAAATCTGTATTGCCTCCTCTGTCCTGCACCTTTCGTTGACAGTTCACGTAGATCTTCCCAAAGGGGATACCGTAGCAACACTGCCTCCTCAGTCCTGCCCACATGCTTGGTTTGTTCCCTGCCTACCGCCTCATGCCCACCCCTTCCCTGCCACTTCCCTCTTCCAGGGTCTTCCATTCTGGCAAGTGATGAATTTGATTGGGGCAGGGACACACACACCGCTGCATCGACCTCCTTCACTTGCCTCCTGCACCACCCTCCCTGGCGCCTGCCTCCTTTCCACCCCCCTCTTCTCCGTACAGACACCTCAGTAGTGCCGAGTGACGCACAGACTTCGGCACGGACTGGCTGCTGCTGTAAAAGATGGATCCCTGTCAATCACTCACTTTCTTCCCCCCCCACTCCCTCCCCCCAAACCCCCCCCCCCCCCTTCCCCCTGGCCCACATGCGTGCGTCCCCCCCCCCTGCAGGGTCCGCGATAGTGGCAGGGGACGACATCTATGGCGGCACGGACCGGCTTCTCTCAAGAGATGTGCCTCGTCTTGCCGCGACGAGTGGTCGGTGCCGTGAGAGTTCTCTGCTCCTTTCAGGCTTGTCTTCCTCTCGTCCGCTTTGCTCCTTTGCTCCAGGTGAGTGGACACAACGGACTTAGAAGCAGTGAGGCCGGCAGTGCAGCCCGACTCCAAGCTGGTGCTCATTAAAAAAATCCTCTCCTCCCTCTCCCCCTTCCTCTCCATCTCTCACCCTCTCTCTCCCCCTTCCTCTCTCTCCGTTCCTCTCCCTCCCTCTCCCTCTTTCCACCCAGGCGAGTGGACACAACGGACCTGCAAGCAGTGAGGGCGGCAGGGCAGCGCGAGGGCGTCCCACCAACCCCTGTCCATGTCTCACTCTTCCCACCATCCCTCCTTCTCTTTCCCCTTTCTTTTCCGCCTCTCTCCCTTTCCCTCTCCGTTCTGTCTGTCACCAGGCGAGTGGACACAACGGACTTAGAAGCAGTGAGGGCGGCAGTGCAGCCGGACACCAAGCTGGTCGTCATGGAGAGCCCCACCAACCTGCGCATGATGATCAGCGATATCAGGGTGAGTCAGAGTACCGCATTGCTTTGTACTGCACTGCACTGCACCGCACTGGACTGGACTGCACTGTACTGTACTGCGCTGTACCACACTGTGCCCCTGTACCACCGATCATCTGCTGGTCGTTATGGTTCGCTCCACCAACCCGCGTATGATGATGAGCGATATCATCAAGGCAAGTCACCGCACTATACTACACTGCACCACACGGCACTGCGCTGCACTCCTTCCCCTTTCCTCTTCTCCCCAATGTCTCTGAATATCTTATTACAAACAGCTTCTGTTTATATATCTCGTGCTGTCGTAGCTGCTGCAGCTAATTGCAATGCCAACCCCCCCTCTCTCTCCCTTCCCCCAGGCCACAACAGAGAGTGTTCACTCAGTGGGTGCGCTACTACTGGGAGACAACAGCATCATGTCACTCGACCTACCAAAGCCAATCTCGCTTCCCTTTCTCTCCCCTCCCCCTGCCTCGCAGCCCATAACGGACATAGCCCTTTCAGTGACCACGCTGCTGCTAGTCGTGCTGTCACGGCCGACACAGCTTACAACCGTGACACTTCTACCTCTCTCTCCCTTCCCTTCCTTCAGGCCATAGCAGAGGTTGCACATTTAGTGGGTGCGCTGCTACTGGTAGACAACAACATCGTGTCGCCTGTGCTGTCACAGCCGCTGCAGCTGAAAGCAGCGCCTCTTCTCCCTCCTTCCCTCTTTCTCCCCACTCTCTCCCTTCCTCACAGGCCATAGCCAAAAAGCTCTCTCAGCGGGTGCGTTGCTGCTGGTAGGTAAACAACAACATTATGACGCCCGTGCTGTCAGTTTATCTCCTCATGTTGTCCCATACTTGCCCCCCTCCAGGTCATAGCAGAGATTGCTCACTCAGTGGGAGGCCTGCTGGTGGACAACATCATCATGTCCCCCGTGCTGTCACTCCATCTTCTCATGTCTCCCATGCTTGCCCCCGCCCCCCTGCCTCACAGGCAATCGCAGACATTGCCCACTCAGTGGGTGCACTGCTACTGGTGGACAACAGCATCATGTCGCCCGTGCTGTCGAAGCCGCTGCAGCTGGGAGCAGACATAGTGATGCACAGCGGCACCAAGTTCATCAGCGGGCATAGTGATGTCATGGCTGGCATACTGGCTGTCAATGACCCAAAGTGAGTTATGGGGTGGGGACTCGCACAGCAACACACATAATTAGGCACACACACACATTCATTCTTGCTACAGGGGGGATCGGACATTGTGATCCAGAGTGACACCAAGATCATCACGGACACACCACAATCATCACGAGCACAGTCATGGCTGGTGTACTGGCTGTCAATGACCCACAGTGAGTGTGTGTCTCAAGTGTGTCTCTCAAGGGGATGAAGGACAGATATGTGTGCGTACACCCGCGTCCTCTCTGCGGAGCTAACTACTACAACGGGAGCTAGACTACGGGCTGGGCACGGGTGCTCGTGTGATCTCTGCGTTCGTTGGTCCTTAGTCGTTTTCCTAGTGCACACACTGCTTGCTAGTTCATAGGGTAATCTGGCAAGAGTTTCACTAGAGAAGGTTGACAACAATGGTACAAATAAGTTGGCATGGCAAGACTACATCAGAGCTAGCATTCAGGTCGGTCGACTGCCAGCGCAGCATGGTCGACCGCGTTCCAGCACGACTTGGTCGACCGCGCTCCAGCAGTGCAAAGTTGACGGCGTGCCAACGCAGCAGGTCGACGGCGTGCCAGCGTTGCTCCCGCAGTACAGCATCGCACCAGCTTCGCAGGTGCTCGCAGATGATTGGCGTGCTGAGCCTCGTCACGTGCACAGCGCACACACCTAGTCAACCTGGCGCTGACGACTGCATCTGATCAGCCACGTCGACCTCGGGATACCACCGCCGAGGTCAGACTCGTAAACTTCGCCTGGGCGATCGTCGCACTCCTCCGCAGAACCTCGTCACCCAGGTAACCTGGTCGACCGGGCAACCACGTCGACCAGCTGCTCCTGTATGTGCCCGTCGACCTCCCAAGTCGACGACCACCCCAAGTCGACCTCACCAGGTCGACCACACCCCTGGTCGACCAGCTCCAGGTCGACGTCACTCCTGGTCGACCAGCTCCACGTCGACCAGCACAGCTATCAGCCGACCACCCAGGTCGGCTACCCGAAGTCGGCGTCACCAAGTTGACGCCGTGCTACTCGACGCCCTGAGTCGAGGTCGACGTCGGCCCCTCCTTCGTCGACCACCAGGTCAGGTCGACCACCAGGTCAGGTCGACCACCAGGTCAGGTCGACCACCAGGTCGACATCACGCCTGGTCGACCAACCACCAAGTCGACCAGCAGGCCTGTCAGCCGACCACCCAAGTCGGCTGCCCCAAGTTGGCGTCACCAAGTCGACGCCCTCCGCAGGTCGACTTCCCAGGTCGACCTCCCTGTAGTCGGCGCCACCCTGAAGTCGGCGCCCGTGCAGTGGCCCCCGTGCAGGTCGACCTCCTTGTCAACCAGCTCGCCCACTGCTGCAGGTCGGCTGCTCCCCTCACACCCGACCACGAAGTCGGCTCCGCCCAAGCGCGGACGGGGCCAACACACAACACCCGTTGACACTCTCGTCCCCCCTTCCCCCACCAGCCTGGCTAAACAAATCCACTTTGTGCAGATTGCAAAACGCTCACGGATGAGCCCCTTTAGAGATCTCTTCTATCCCTATTGCCAACTCCCCGGTCCCTTCCCTTTCTCCTTTTCCCTTGTCTTCGACGCGCCCAGCCTGGCGAAGGAGATTTACTTTGTGCAGAACGCAGAGGGGTCAAGGCTGAGCCCCTTTGAATGGTGGGTGTGCCTGCGCGGAATCAAGAACCTGCCACTATGTTTGGAGCGCCAGCAGGTACGGGTGGACGTGTATGTGCGTGGGATGGGGAGCGTGTGTGTGTTTTAGCTGCTATTGAGGCTGATGATCCAACACCCAACGTCCCACCCATGCATGCTGCTGCTGCTTATCGACCGTGCATGCTGGTACTGCTTCTCCCACCCTCGAATGCCGATGCGTGTGTACAGGCGAACGCACAGAGAATAGCCGAGTTCCTGGACAGTCACCCGCGAGTGGAGAGAGTGTTCTACGCCGGCCTGCCATCCCATACCAACCGTGACCTTCACTTTTCCCAGGTGATTTCCCAGCCTATGCCAGTCACACCCGTGGCCATTCCCTCTCTCACATTGTGCTTGTCTGTCTCTGGCATCCCCTCCACCCGCGAGAGGAAAGAGTGTTCTATGCCGGTCTGCCCTCGCATGCCAACCGCGACCTCAATTTCTCCCAGGTGCTTCCCCAGCCTATGCCTCCACGCTCGGTTCACACCCATGGTTATTTCCTTTCGCACACAGTGCATGTTTGTCTCTGGCAACCCCTCCACCCGTGAGTAGAGTGTTCTAAGCCAGTCTGCCATCCCATGCCAACTGTGACCTGCACTTCTCCCAGGTGTCTTCCCAGCCTATGTCTCCATGCCCCGTTTCACACCCGTAGTTTTTGTCTCCACCCATGGTTATTCTCGCCACCCATGGTTTCACACACAGAGTGCATGCTTGTTTCTGGCAACCCCCTACCATGCATGAAGAGAGAGTGTTCTATGACAGTCTTTCCTCCCATGGTGAATGCGATATGGGAGGTGCTGCACCTGTCAACTTCTCCCAGGTGCTGCACTCAGGTGCTTCTTCAGGTGCTTTTCTCATTGATGCCTTCGGTATTCTTCTCAGGTTCCCTTTCAGGTGCCGCTCTTAAGTTCCTCCTTCAGGTGCTTCTTTCAGGTGCTTCACTTGCATCCTCAAAGTTTTTTTCACTCACTTGCCTCCCCGGTTAGATTTTGTACTAAAAATCTATTTCACCACTGTCAACTGGTGTTTTCCATTTGTTATCGTTCAGATATTGTTTGTTTTCTTATCTGTTCTTGATTGTTCTTTCTCCATCCAAGTCTTTCCCCATAACTACTTATTCCCACCTCCGTCAGGCCAAGGGTGCGGGGTCAGTGCTCAGTTTCACGATGGGCAACATCAGCGCGTCGAAACACATTGTTGAGACGATGAAGCTTGCTAACATTGCTGTCAGCTTCGGTAAGATGAGATGCGAGCAGTGTTGGGTGGAGTGATAGCAGTGTTGGGCGGAGTGAGAGCAGTGTTCGGTGGAGTGAGAGCAGTCTTCGGGTGGGTTTCGACCATCACATGTCTTGCTGCCTCCTATCCTTAATGTTCTCTATAGATGCTCCTAATTGGTATTCGTGATTTGGTGTTTCGCAATTGGTGGTTTGAATGCTACGGGGATGTGACTGGATAGAATGCATGAATGCATTGAATGCATGAATGCATTGAATGCATGACTGCATTGAATGCAGGACTGCATTGAATGCATGACTGCATTGAATGCATGACTGCATTGAATGCATGACTGCATTGAATGCATGACTGCATTGAATGCATGACTGCATTGAATGCATGACTGCATTGAATGTATGACTGCGGTGAATACATGTCTCTGCATTGAATGCATGACCTTCCTTGGTGACAACGACTGCTTGATGCATGTCCACACTGTGACTAATTTTGCATGACTGTATTGCGTTTGCGTGTGCGACTCTACTGCATGGTGGTGCTGACTGCAACGAGCGGGCATGCAGGCAGTGTGGAGACGTCCAACAGCCTGCCGTGCTTCATGTCGCATGCCAGCATACCAGCCGATGTGTTCAAGGAGCGAAGCCTTGTTGAAGACCTCATTCGCCTCTCTGTAAGTGTGCCTTTAATTGCTTCCCTCTCTCTCTTCCCCCTTCCCCTTCCCTCCAATCTTCCGGACTGTCGTTCTTGCGTACCGTACTTTGTTGCCGTTCCATGTTTGAATGTATTTCAAATTAGTTTATATATGCAATTTGTTGTTTGACAGGTGGGAATTGAGGCTGTGGATGACCTTATTGCTGATTTGGGGAATGCCATAGACACAGCTCCTTTCGCATGACAACGACACATTATCACACGGGAATACTACCGTGGGTGTCTCACCATTGCTTTTTTTCGATACCGTCATTGCCCTGATATAAGACATATGGGTCTTATCCGATATCGCTTCGAAAACTGGCTGTTTATCTTATAAAAGGAAGGTAATAAGTATCTGAGAAATCTTATAAACAGGAAACTTTAAAATAAACAAAATCTCTCTGACTACTGTATTGGGACGCCTCAGACATTTTTGGATACGCGGCATCACGAGAAAAACCTGCTGACGCAGCATGTGAATTGGATACAAACTATCTGAGTCATCGTGTGCATGAATTCATGCGCGCTCAGGCGAAAATGTACGCGCTATGATATGATTCAACAGAAAGTAAAAACGTTTCGATTATAAAAGGAACTTCTATTTATCATATCGGTATTATGGTCTCCTATAAAAGGAACTTCTCTTTATAAGGAAACATCTGTCAAACTATCATGTTGTGTAGGCTGTAGTGGGGTAGCCCATATGGGGTACAACCCAATTAGGGTTCGCTACTTGTACTCCTGCATGCTGTTAGTTTCATCATTCTCGTTCATTCTTCTAACATGGTTTCAGAGCAGGTCCTCTCCTAGGACCGTTTTTTTAGGGCCCACCGTATAGCTCACTGCCCGTGTCGCGCTACCCCACCCGTCGCGCCGCCCTGCTAGTGCCGCGCTGCCCTGCCCTGCCCCGCATCGCGCCGCTCGCGCACGCCCTGCCCTGCCCGCGCGCCGCTCGTCGCCGCGCCGCGCCGCCCTGCCCTGCCCGCGCGCCGCTCGTTGCCGCGCCGCGCCGCCCTGCCCTGCCCGTGCGCCGCTCGTCGCCGCGCCGCGCCGCCCTGCCCTGCCCGCGCGCCGCTCGTCGCCGTGCCGCCCTGCTCTACCCGCGCGCTGCTCGCCGCCGCGCCGCCCTGCCCTGCTCGCCGCCGCGCCGCTCGCCGCTGCGCCGCACTGCCCTGCCCGCGCGCCGCTCGCTGCCGTGCCGCCCTGCCTTGCCCACGCGCCGCTCGCCGCCGCCCCGCCCTGCCTTGCCCGCGCGCCGCTCGCCGCCGCGCCGCCCTGCCCTGCCCGCGCGCCGCTCGCCGCCGCGCCGCCCTGCCCTGCCCGCGCGCCGCTCGCCGCCGCGCCGCCCTGCCCTGCCCGCGCGCCGCTCGCCGCCGCGCCG